AAATCTTCAGTTCATCTTCCAGTTTATCTGTTTTCTGTTCTATAACATATAGATAACTGTATGTATATCTTGCCTTCTTTTCACTAAGCTTACTCTGCAGTTTGTATAAACAAATAACATTAATAGCATATTTTCCCATCTTAGTAAAATGTTTTATGAGATACACCGTCAAAAACTATCCTCAGTCCTCCTTGGTGCGCTTTCTTCTAAGAAGATTTTTACAGTACTCTAAATAATGTTTTAAGAAGGTAAACTAATGTTTTAATACCTAGGTATATGTTTCATTTAAAAATAAAAGAGAATTTGTGGACTAGATAAAATTTCATGAAATGCACACTGTCAAGTGAATTCTGACTCACAGTGCTTCCTGTAACAAAACAGAATTGCTCTGTAGGGCTTCTTTTATTTTATTCTTTTTTTTATTGGCTTGCTTACAAAACTTGTATAGATTATGTATTACAATATTATTAATTCCCATTGTGTTTTATATAATCATTCTCATGCATTATGTTTTGTAAAATTAATCACCATTGGACCTGTCTTTTCGCCCTGTTCCTTCCCATTTCCTTCCCCTGCCCCCTTATTTACTTCAGCCCACCAAACTCGGCAACCATGTGGTTTCACCCCTCCCATGTAGGGCTTTTAAACTGTAAATTGCCAAATCTTTGTCTCTGGAAGATGGTTCAGCCTTTGCTTATCAGCAGAGTACACTTAACTAATTTGCCAACATACTCTAAAAACTACAAAATAAACAAACCTGTTCCAGGATCAACTCCAATTCATAGTGACCCTACATTTAGTTACTGGGGCTGGAAACCGTAATATCCTCATTTTGCATCAGGCAGCTAGTGGATTTGAACCTCTGACCTTTCCGTTAGTAGCACAGGTATTACTCACCATGATATCAATCCAGTTTTCTGAAAGTGCTTGCAATTTATAATAAATAAAATTATTTTATGAATATTTTTCTAGACTATTAATGACATTGTCAAAATACTTCCTAGCCAAAGAATTAAAACTGTCAGATACTATAACTGCATGAAAGTTTATCCTATAGTATTGGAAAAAAAACCAAACCCACAGAATTTATTAAGTAGAAACCAACCTTAAAATTGTATCTGAAAAATAACTTTCAGTGGTTTAAAAGTCAACCGCCACTTCTTTACTGTGGAGTCAGAAGCAACTCAAAGCTTAACCTCCAGCAGACTTACAGTGGCTTTAAACTGTAAAGGAGGAGAATACCCATCTTTCTCCCGTGGAGCAGCTGGTAGATTTGAAGAGCTAGTCTTTGTTTTGCCAGTACAACTCCTTAAACCACTTGGCCACCAGAGCTCCCTATTTTGAAATGCAATTCATTAATTAAATGAGCTATAAGACTTATTAATTGAATACAAAGAAAAAACCAAGAGGAGAATTAAAGAGTAAGTACAATGTTGAGTGCCCTCAATTCAGGTATGACTCACAGCAATGCTATGAGCTGCAGAGGTGAACTCTGTCTGGTCCTGCTATCTTCTCCATCTCTAACATACCTCATTGCTGCAGCTCTGTGTCGGTCCATCCTGTTGAGGGTCGTCTTCTATTTCGCTTTCCAAGTATAATGTCCCTTTCCAAGGAGTAGCTCCTCTAACAAAATGCCCAAAGTAAGTGAGACAAAGCTTCACCATCCTTGCCTGTAAGGAGCACTCTTACCGCACTTTCTCAATGCTATGTTTCTTCTCTTGGCAGTCCATGCGATACTGAGCACTCTTCTCCAACATTGTAACTCAAAGACTATATTAGTCTTTCTTCTGTCATTCTTATTCATTGTCTAGCTACTTCATGGATAACACTTTATTTAAAAGACCGTGGATTAAATCAGGTGTGCCTTAGCTTTAGGCTACCATTGAGGTCTCCAGCTGTTTCTGGGGGGAAAGGATGAGTAGTCTCTTCCCATGTGATTGAAAACCAACCAGAGGGTCAGCTGTGGGTAAGTTCCGACTCTACAGTACACAAGAACAGCAACAATAACAACGTCATTACTCTTCAGTACTTTGGGGAAGTCCCTGACAGAAGACTTTCCCAGTGTAATACATCTTATTTTTTCATTACTGACACTGATAGTGTTTATTGTGCATCCAAGTAAGATTGCATCTTTGGCTACTCTATATTTTCTCCATCTATCATAATGTTGCCTGTTGGCACAGTGGTGAGGATCATGGTTTTCTTGATGTTGAATTGTGATGCATATTACAAGCTGTAGTCTTTGATCATCTGCAATAAGTACTTCATATCTTCCTCCCTTTCAGCAAGCAAGGTTATGTCATATGCATAACCAAGGTTGTTGATGAGTCTTCCTCCTATCCTGGGTACTAAGTTCTTCTTCATAAAGTCCTACTTCTTGAATGATTTATTCAGCATACAGATTGAACTGGTGGGGAGAGAAAAAACTGCCCTGAAACACATTTTTCTTGATTTTAAACCGTGTTGTATTCCCTTGTTCTAATCAAACAATTTCTTGATCTAGATACAGGCTTCGACGGCACATAACAACAAAAACAACAACAGATACAGGCTTCTCATAAGCACAATCATATGTTCTGGAATTCCCATTTTCCTCAATATTAGCCAGAGTTTGGTATGATTCACAAGTCAAATGCTTTTGCATAGTCAGTAAAACACAAATAGGCATTCTTTGTATCTTCTCTACTTTCAGCCGAGATCCATCTTACGTTAACAGTGATATCCCTGGTGCCATGGCTTCTTCTAAAGCCAGGTTGAACTTCTGACAGTTTTCTGTTAATATACTATTCTAGTCATTTTTAGATGATCTTCAGCAAAATTTTGCTTGCACGTACTCTCCACATTCTGTTCAGTCACCTTTCTCTGGAATGGAAAGAAATATGGATCTCTCCCAGTTCAGGATCTCTCCCAGTCAGTTAGCTAGGTAGCAGGCTTCCAAATTTTCTGGCAGACTGGCGAACATGTCCAGGGTTGCATCTATACATAGAATATTGTGTTTTAAGAATAAATTTAGACTGGAGTTAAGAAATACTGGTAAATATTTTTAAAAAAGAAAATTCTTTAAAAATTCTGAAGCTGGCATCTTAAAGTATATGCTAGACTAAACACTTTTGTCCTCAGAGCCTCTATCTGTTAAGCATGTGTGTTATCTCTCAGCATGTAGATACACAGTACATTTATTAGAAAAGATTATCATTGTACTCTCAGTGCAGAGCTATAAAAATTCCTTTTTAAAGATGTAAGATAATAACAGTTAAACAAGATTTTAGCCTCTAGTTTTAAAAGTCCTTAAAACAGTGTTGTAGCCCTAAAAGGCTTTGGGTTCAGTTTTCCACAAATACTTACAAATGAACTCTAGTATTTATATAATAGTAAAGATCTTTTTTTTACTAAAACTTACTAGAGTTTGGTCCATTAGAAGTGTATAACTTTCTCTCCCCACTAATTATTTTATATTCAATATTTATATGGCTATCTATGTTGTTGATAGGTGATACTCTGTATATATGTATCCCTATAAATATCTTTATCCTCATACATAGAAGAATCTATTAGATCCCTGCTTATCATCTTTTTAAGATTTATTTTGTTTCCAACTTTTGTTGTAGGCATCTCATATAGCCTGCTTGACTGAACAAGTTTTAAATATATGAGCAATATCTGAGTACATCACATTTTAAATTTATTATCATATTTGAAATCCCATCATATTGTACACAAACTGGAAACTGATATGGGGGGTTTTTATATTACTTAGTGATAATGAATTTTTATTTTAGAAATTACGTTAACTCTATTCTATTGATGATAATGTATTTAATGAATTTATTTTAGATTGCTGATAATTTAGAGAATACTCCATGCAGAGTGAATTCATCAGTCACTTTGCTTTCTTATTGTTGTTCTCAACTTTCGAACAAGGAGCCAAAATTCCAATCTTTTCCAATTGGAGGAGAAAAGCAAGGGTAGCCGCTGTATTGCTTTTAATTTGATAGTTAGTTTCAGGTCATTTTCAGGTAAAGAGGAAACAATGAAGACCCGCTTACAATTTCCATAACATTCAAGATTGCTCCAACTTGATCATTTTTTTCCTCTGGCAATTGCTTTTTCTGTCTCTGGGTTTAAAGGAACCCATAATTGTTCACGGTTATTATTTTTCATCTTTATGAAAGCTTGTTGCTTCTATTTTTTATTACCCTAAAGCTCTCAATGTCTTGTATATTTCAGTCGTATACACTATCCATTAATGTTTCAAGCTCATCCTTTTCTTAATCTGCAGCAAGGTTAGGTGGGTCAGGCTTTCGATTTCTTTCTGTAATACATTTTTTCTCAGGCTTTGCAACCTCTTAAAAAAGAAAAAAAGAAGGTGAAAATTTGGAATTGTTCCATTGAATACAAGTGATGCCTAGTGAAAAGCAAGTTTAGGTCTTGATTTATAGTTCTCTGAACAGTTCCATGTGCATTACCAACTGTGGCTTCACAGCCATTGAAAAATGTGATTCTGTGCTTTTTTCTAATAAATATGTATTTTATTTCATTTCTCCGTCACACTGGAAAAAAAACAAAACCAACCTACCACAAACCAAACCAGTCTGCCTTATACATGGGCTCAGATATGCTTACTCGCAATTATTTTATGATCCACAGCAAGTTTCAAGTGTATCTCAATGGGGAGAGATTTCATTTTTGTTTGTATCCTTTTAAATATGTTGATTTATGTAGATTAAGTTAAGTAGGAAGTTATTTTTGTAGATAGTTATTTCCATTTGTTCCTCTTTAGGAGGGAAAGCAATCAGGTAGTCTTTTAAACATTTTATTTCCTGAGTCTTCCAAACTTACCAACAAATCATGTAGTTCTTTGATTTCATCTCTGCTATTCAATTTATAGTAGTTGATATAATCCTTAGATGAGTCCCCCCGCCTTTCTTTAAACTTATGTTAAAGTGCCTCCTCTGTTTTTCTGGCAGCAGCTCATCTGTGTTCTTGTTTTCTCTGCTCAGTGATATGACAAGAACAGTGGAGATTTCTGGGGAAGGAGGTCCCTTGGGAATACATGTAGTGCCCTTCTTCTCATCTCTAAGTGGAAGGTAAGACATTTTCCTTATTTCAGATGCTCAAGGTAATGAAAAATCAGGTTTGAGCTCGCATTCCCAAACATTTTTCAAATCCAATGAAAAATGTATCACTGTTATTCAAATGGACACACCAAGATTTACTTTCCTTGGTCACTTTTGTGTTAGAAACAAAATTAAATAATTTATTTGGGGGCTGCTATAAAAGAGGGGGAAAAAATCATAGTTTCTGCATTTTCAAGTGTTCATGAGGAACTCTTCCAAACATCCTTGTCAGTGGCTTACTCATTAGAAAACATTTTAGCATTGTGTTAGGGAAGTCACAACTGAATTATTTAGTGTTCCAAAATACAGTTCATAGAGTGGAGATGTCTCCTGCAACACCATTCATGACACCAGTACATAATAGCTAACATATAGCAGAACAGAGAAATTTTATAATCTAATCTTCAAGTATATATAAACTAAGAATAAAAATATTCTTATTTCTAAGTGACTGTGTCAAATTCTATGTGTTGGGGAATTTTTTTTTTCTAAGATGACAAAATGTAACCATGTGTTTCATTTTTTTCTAAAATAAAATCAAATAATTTCCCATGTGGGTTTTTTTTTTTATTAACTTCAATGAACATTTACAGAGATTTTGGATTTGCATTCATTCATTATTGCGCTTTTCTCCCTGCCCACCCCACCCCAATCCCTACCCCCAGGTCGCTCTTTTTGAAAAGTAAAAGAAAATTTCCTTCATTGGTATACATTTCCCCCCACACTACCCCCTTACCCCGAGTATACTCCACTCTGCAACCTTCATTCCGGACTCTTATGATAATCGTAATGCCCTAAAATATGTTGCTTTTAAACTATTCTCTCCCTCATGGGTTTCAGGGCAGTCCCATATGCTTTTATAGTTGTAAAGGCGTAGTTCAGATAAATGATCAAATATCGGCATTTCTTAACATTCATGTGCATCTAATTGGGCGGATGATCTACTGTTATTACTATTCTAACTATTTTATAGAACTAATATTAGATGATGTATCATTTTCAATCACATGACTGCCTCTGGCACTACATTACTATGGGTAAAGGTTATCAGAAATTAAAAAAGAAATAATTTTCTCATTCACATAACATGATTTTCATTAATTTCTCAAATTTATTTTCTTACATTCTTGAAAAGGTAGAACCCTGTTTTATGTGAAGATACCAAACATTTAAAAAGGAAAAGATTTTGTTTAAGGTAGAGCACACAGAATTTGGGAACTGTTGACTTGCTGTCACTCAAATGCTCTTTTAGTACCTAATTTTTCCCAAAGGTTATATAGTATTAATTTACTGGTTCTGAATATTTGTTCAGTTCAGCCATAATATAGCAAGGAGACCAGATTTACTCATGATATTTTGGTTGGCATAGTGTTCTGCAGGTAACCATCTGCTACCTGTAATTGCAAAGTCATCACCTTCTTTTGCAAACAACATCTGATGCCAAGCACTTGCTGGAATCTATGTTCCCCAAGAGAAATGAACCAAAAAGTTAGTGGCTCTCATTGTCTCCCTTCCTGTGTGTGTTAATAAGTGTGTTTATAAATGTTATGGGTTATGGCACAGGACAGGCGGAGGTTGTTTTTAACAGACAGAGTGAATATTTATCTAGTTGTCTTGAGAAATTCTAATGGCTTTTGGCAGAAGTGCACTGATGAGGCTTTGTGAAATAGCAGAGCGGTTAAATTACCAGGCCTTTAGCTTAATAAAGCTGGAATAGAACACAAGATCATTCCAATTTCCAAAAACAAGAAGAGAGATACAATGTGACAGTCACCATACTTCATTTCGAATAGTTTGGAAAACGAGTTGACCCTACAGATCAGGAATCACTTTCTCTCACGTCAAATGAGAGAAATAAACTAGAAAGTAGCAGTTTCTTCTCTTTTCCTTTCTAATTCTGATTTCTAGCGTAAGCATAAAAGAAAGAGCAGTAGAAAGAGCATTGAACTTGGATTCAGAACAATTGGATTTGAATACCAGACTCTTTCATCGTGTATCTTCTGCAGTTTTCCTTTTGTTGGTGGATATCAGAATACCTATTTCTTATTAAAAGTGTTGGCATTAAATTGTCTAAAAAAATTGGAAAGCCACTTGTAAAACATACAGCAGGTGGACATGTAAATTATTAGTATGATGATTATTGCTAAAATAGAATATCTTGTATAAGAACATTTTCAAAGTTCATGGTCAAGTGTTCAGACACTTGGTAAAATTGCTCTACTATGGGCTTATGTGTGTGTGTGTTTTCCTGTTCACTAGTTTTATAGGAAGGAAATTTAATTAAAAAACATTAAAAATAATATGGAAGTGGAGACATGAGCCAATAAAAGTTAAGGAGTAATGAATACAGGCTGAAATAGCACACTTAACTTAACCCATGTGTCTAGATGCAACCACATACAGAGGCCTGTGAGACAAGTGTCTGACTTCATACACCATATGGTTTCACTGTGTGAGCGCAGGGGGTTAGCTAAGGTCACATTGGATACTTACCTCTTCATTTCCTTCCATTGATTGGTTTGTGTCATGTAAAATTAGAATTTACTTTTAATTCTTTCTTAAGACTACTGTAATTGGCTTTGCCTCTAATTTATTTTTTTTTCCTTTTAGAAAAATATGGCTACACCTGTTGTTGAATAAGAAAGCTTATCTAAGCTAGAAATATGTTGGTGCCATACCACAATAAGGCCTCAGTGGACTCATTAGATAACAGAGCATCAGGGTGCCAAAAAGCCGCTGATACTGAGGGTCATGGCTTTCACAGACAAAATAGACATACAAAAATCCTCAGCGTTGGAAGCAAAAAAGAATCTAACCTATCTCATCAATTTTTAGAAAGTTATCTCTGATAATTTAAAGGATGAAATTTCAGGTTTTATAATAAATAAAGATAGCATAATATTACCCAATTCGAGAGTCGAGGCAGGTCAGCAGGAGAGAGAAAGAAGAGTTGGGAGAAGAATGAGTCTAAGAAGAGAAGATGTTTAGGCAAAAGTTTTAAGTGTGGAGAAGACCGGAGGCCATGTGATACAAAGAGGGGGAGATAAGGGAAATGGAAGAGGAGGGTGGGACCTTAATGATGTTTAGAAGAACAAGGTACCATCCTTCCCAGTCTTATTCGCAGGACTATGGACTTCAGCATCCTTTATATTGGCTGATAAATACAAATTAACTGGTAGTCTTAGCCTATATTCTTTGCCAGCATTAATCTTTAAAGACTGATCTTCTTGATCCCAAACAAGACAGCTACCAGAGCCCACCAGTCTGAGATAAAGGGGATAATGGGAGCGTCTTCTCTGGGCCTTCTCATCCAGGTTTCTGTGAGACCAGCCTGGAGGGACCTCATCCCTTCTGTGGAATCGAGAGGGCACTAGTGGTTTGTTTTCAGGGACCAACCTAATAAATCCAGTTAGTTTCACATTTTACCAAAATTACGTCTGACACACGGGTTTTCCAGTTGGGCTTATTCTGTCAATAAATTTTTCATGCAAGGTTGGGTTATTTACATCTGTGAGGTTCACATAGCATACTCCAGCTGTAATATACCAGCTAAATTGCAACTCAGTGGCCTGAAAGAATTAATTCATCTCCCAAAATGTGAAATTAAATCCTTGGGAGTAACATTACATGACTGATGATGTACTGAATTAAATTAAAGGAAGACTTGAATGCTTGTTAAAAAAATATCACTTACATAAACTAGTTTATAACCACATTTGAGGCTCCTAATGGATCATGTTATTGTGAATCTACCAGAATAAAAATCCAAAAATACTATTTGAGTGCTGCTTAATTTTCAGAAAAAAAAATGCTCTTTTGTTCTATTTAGGGTTTTTGGCATGTCAAATCAAACCATTTTTAATATTACATTGTATGATTAAGATTCAATTAGAATCATAAATTTTTTACTTTGAGTTCAGATGGTTTATCAGATTGAGGCAGTGCGACCTTCTCTTTCAAACACAGAATATGCTTGATTAATATAACTACTTGCTAGAATTAAAGAAGGAAGCATAGCACCTTGCCTTACCTTGAACCTGTGAGCCAAGCCTTCCCTAAAGTATGTGGCTTGACTTTGTGTTTTTATGTCCCTGTGATATCATACTGCACCCACGGAAGTATTCTGAAGTAGGAAATTTCTAAATACCACAGTAGGTGCCTTGCCCATTGACATTTTGGCTTCATGAATCAAACCATGGCCCTGGCGGGAGGGAGAGACTAGACTTTGGGACTGCTCCAAATAGGCTTGGTTTGCTGCTGCACTTGGCATTACAGACTGCCCTTTTCCCATGGTGGAGGCTATTATTCATGCATGAGTTATGCTCATATTTTATTTAGATGTGAGATTTAATGCAAAGGGACTATATAATAGCACACAGAGGTCCTAAACAAAAGAGAATGACAATGTAGAAAAATAAGAAGGCAAAGGAAATGGAAACTGGGTCCTCCATACCCAGCAGAGTCCTCTTCCAGGTCTTACTTCTCTTTCTTTTTTTGAGATGAAGCAAGGACTGTCCTACAGAAATGAATGATAGCTTGATGGCTAAAACACATACGTCCCATTTCTTTTCGTTATTTCTTTTGCATTACCAATATATGTAACAGTTTATAGATACAGATATATAGGTATATACATACATACAGGTTTGGAAGCAAGAGTGGCATCCACCTCCTAAACAACATGCCTCTCAAAACTCTATGAACTTTGATAAGTGTTGATATTTAGAGAAAGGCTTTAGGCCTTTTGTTCTTAGGGTCGTTATGAATCATGCTGGACTCAATGGCAATCAACAACTATATATATATATATCTCCTCATAGCCATTGTGTTGAATATGGCCCATAGCTGACCCTCCAGGAGGTTTCCAGAGGCTGTAAATCACTGGAGAGGAAATTGCCCATCTTTATTCTATGGAGCTACTAGTAGATTTGAACCACCAGAAAGGTACACCTTCCTACAGATGTTGTAGTGTCCTGTTGAGCTGGGACTGACTCATAGCTGACCCTCCAGGAGATTTTCAGAGGCAAGAAAGTTCATTGCCCATCTCTCTCCTACTGAACAGCTGGTGGATTCAAACCGTGTGTTTGGGTTGGCAGCCCAGTTCTTTAGGCCACCAGAGTTCCTATTTAAGTCTTTATTCTCATTTTCAAAATTTTCTTCCTTCTTTCTCCAACCCTTCTTTTCTCCTGAGTCTAATCCACACCCAGAAACCCTGAGAGTTCTGGAATAGTATCTCAGAACTCACTGTTTCCCTTATTCAAATAGACAACTCTTCCCAAAGGCCTGCCTTCATTGTATCACTGACCTTCTCAGGAACAGGCAAGGGTGGGTGGTCTATTTCTGCTTCAGCAAAATTCGTGTCTCTCCGGGTGGTCAAAATTCCCCATCACAGCATTGACCTCTGGTCAGTGTTTGCTCCTACACTCCTCCCACCACACGTGAACACATGGTGTGTAAAGCTCCTCTTTAAAACACAAAATCAAACCTATTGACATTGAGTTCATTCCAAAGCACAAGGACCGTCTATCACAGAGCTCCAGGGCTGTTAAATCCTTACAGAGGCAGACGACCACGTCACTCCCCTGTGGATCAGTGGAGGGGTTGACACCACCCACCCTTAGTGTGACAGCTGAGAACTATAACCACCTCACCAACAGGAAAGACCCCTTCCTTCTCTCTTTACTTCTCTTGAAATCCTTCTCATTCTTCAGATCTAGTTCACATCCCCACATTGTCTTCTGATCCTTCTGTGACTCTAGTCCCTTTGGTGTTTCCAGTTTTGAGCTTCTAGCATGTTCAGAGCCTGTACTGACCACGTTACCTTACTCTGATCCTTCAGCTTGTCGCACATTTCTCCTCCTGAGCACATGGGAAATAACCAGCATATGCCCAGTTCAGCAACACTAACAAAAAGAATTAATATTCCTTCCAAACTGAGGACTAAGAGCCCTGCTTAGATTGTTATGAGAAAAGGTAGCCATAGTAAAAAAAAAAAAAAAAAAA